ATATCCTGCAAAAACATTCTGTGGCATACTAATAAATATGTAAAATGAAATCACAAGTAAAAGGCCAGGACACTCATTTGAGTAAGTTTGTTTAAACAAAGGAAGAGAACATTTTCCTGATATGTTTTAATATCATGAAACTAGTTGATCCTTTTGTTTCATAATGAGGCAGTAAAAATTGTCTTTATTCTATGCAAAATGATACATAGTAATTTTGCTCGCAGTATGCCAAGTTGAGTTTCCATTGATGTTGGTGAGTGTGTATAACTAAGAATTGTTAATCACAAATTACGGAATTATGCTATTCCAGCTCGTATTTAATTTTTTAATCATTATTACTTTATGTTTATTGGTTTAGATGATCAGTTTTATAAAATATACTAGAACTCTGCAGAATGTTGCTGAATTAAATGACACTAATCAATGCAAGTAGCTTAGTGATGCTGCTAATATTTGCAATCATGCTAAACTTGTAAAAATAATTTCATATTATTGGAATCATAGACATTTCTGAAATATTTTAGGTTCCTGATATCTAAGCATGACAGTAACCAGTAATGACATTTTAACGTGGGATAGTAAGACATTTGAATGTTTTGTCCACTTAATGTCTCAACTTGCTTGGTAGTTGATATTTTATAAATGTAAACAAAGGATCCCTTATTCATGTTAGTGCAGCTGTCGCAAATGATGTGTTCTGTACTTAAGTCATACATCTTTTGCACAACCTTGAGTCTGAAACAATTTCTTGAACGTTTCCCCAGATTTTGAAAAAAACGTTTTTACTGAAAATGTGTGTCTAACTGGTCCAGTTAATAGTTCGTATGCATAACAATGCATCATTTTGCCTATCAAATAAATCCAATTTTTCTATTGTAACATCAGATTATGCTTAATATCAATGTTAGCAACAACAAAAGAGTTCAAATAAAATTGCATTTTAAGCATATTTTATGTATTTTTTATATATTTGCATCTTATGAAAGATTTCATTCATTGAATCAGCTATTGATTCTTCTCTTTTCCTTCTGCTGAATCTTTCCTCCATACCTTTGTGACTTCAAGACATAACTATTCCAATTCTACCAGAACTGGTATTCCATGCTCAGTAACTTCACATAGTACAAAATTGTTGCCTGTGTTCCACCATGCACCAAAATCTCCTCACCCATCACAACTGACATCCCTGATCATCATTAGGTCCACATTCCCCGTGGTCTCCAATAGAACATTTTCTTTCTTATCTGTAAATCCCATCTGGAATTCAACTTTCTGTAGCTATGTACCCTTTTTCACCACTCTCACAAAATGTTAATTCCTCAGACACTAGGCTTCTGTGCATCCCCCATCCTTTAGTTCCACCAGCGGCAATCAGCAACAAATTTCTGCAGATTTCCTCATGTCTGCTCATTTCATCATCATGAAGCCCACTATATTTTTTTAACTACATTTCTGAATGTTGTAATCTGAAACTTGATCGCATGGAGGTGTGCAATTCCGCAAAATGAATGTAAAATATAAATCCAGAACATAATAAAATGTTGGAGAAGGGCAATGCTTTTAGAGATTTAAGTAGATTTAGGAATCAATTTGCAAAAATATGCATAAGGTTCAGTTTCTGAAACAGTTCTAATTTTTCAGTAAAACAATCTCCATATCTGCCTATAACACTTCCATATGGTGTGTAAATAATAAGGAAAGTATAAACATGTGCTGCTTAAGAGGACTCTTTCATGAAGTTTATCATCTGCTTGCAGAAAATAAGATTTACTGGATAGAAGCATTTGTCTTTTCTTGATCACCTAATCACAGTAAGTGAACCCAGAATTCAAGTATATGTGCTCATGAGGGAGATGATGGCCTAGTGGTATTATTACTAGATTAATTATCGAGAGGCTCAGGTAATGTTTGGGGGACCTGGATTCAAATCCCACCACAGCAAATGGTGAAATTTGAATTCAGTAAAAAATCTGGAATTAAGGTGACGATTAAAGCATTGACAATTGTTAAAAGGTTCACTAATGTCCTTTAGGGAAGGTACCAGCCATCATACTTGGTCTGGCCTACATGTGAGCCCAACTGACTCTTAACTGCCCTCTCAGCAGTTAGGGATGGACAGCAGGTATTAGCCTAGCCAATTATACCTACATGCTGTGAATGAATTAAAAAACAGGAAACAAAAATATCATGGATGAAAATCTGAAATAAAACTGGCATATACTAGAAAACGGTCAGTTTTGACAAAGGATTTTACAGATGTTCACAGATTTGCTCAATGTTTTCCAGTATATTCGATTTTTATTTCAAATACATAATGAGCAGGATAGTGAGAAATCTTTGGCTGAACTCTTCTAAATTTTTAAAATAATGTATTTGTCTTTTTGTTTCAAAGCAATAGCTCCTGTAACTTAGCTTGTAAGAGACAAACAGTTTTACCAACAAATGTTTGAGAAATTCATGTAAGGTTTGTTTCATCTGACTTATTTCATTTAGTTAAGATGTTGTGTTTTCACAATTTAAGAAAGATAGCACAGTGTTTAAAAAGGAGAATGGCCATGTGGCGCTATTTTGTTTTATTAAAAACTAAAATAATTGAAGTAAAACTATGACTTTAAAGGAAACTGCAGCCTTTTGCATTGCATTGCCCCATTTTTTACACAACATGTCACAAATTGGAGTAGTTTCTGAATTTGCCGAGAGGGGAATACAAAACACAAGTTGTGGTCTGAGCTGCACTTTCTTGTCTGGCCCAGTTAACCTTTGACTCTCTAACTCAGCCTTGAGTCAACTTAAAGATCCAGCTTCTGCTCCCTTCTGAGAGAGAGAATTCAACGTGCTAACGACCCTCCCAGAGAAAAGAATTCTCATCATCTGTTTTAAAAGGGAGACCTCTTATTCTTTAACTGTCTTCTAGTTTCAGTCTACTCCATAATAAGAACATTCTCCAGGTGTCCAGCCCCTCAGGATTTTGCATGTTTCACTAAGATCAACTCTCATTTTTCAAACCTTCAATAGACATAGGCCTAACCTGTTTTCCCATTCTATCCTAAGAATCAAGTGAACCTACTCTGAACTGTTTCTAAAGAAATGATATAATTTCAATTAAGATGACTACAATTGTGCAGTGTTCCAAATGTGATCTCACCAACATCCTATACAACAGCAGTAAAACTTCCCTAATTTTATATTCCCCTTGCAAAAAAACAATAAAATTTTAGTTGCTTTCCTGATCGCTTGCTGTACCTGTGTATTAACCTTGTGGATCATGTACTGGGACCCAGATTTCTCTGTACCTATCCTACAATCACCTTCTATTTAAATACTACATTCCTTTTCTATTCTTCCTGCTGATAGAGATAAGTTCATGTTTACCCATGTTACACTCCTATCACCAAATATTTGTCCACTCACTTAACCTATCTACATCCCTTTGCAGACTCTGTACCTCCCCTTGAAACTTACATTTCTGTTGTCTTGGTGTCATTAGGAAATTTAGCTACCATGAAATCAGTCCTCTCGTGAAAATCATTGATATAAATTGTATATTGATGAGGACACAGCATTGACCCCTGTACATTCCACTAGTTACAGCTCGTCGACCTGAAAATGGCCCATCTATCCCTGCTTTCTGTGAGCAAAGCAATCCTTTATATATGATCATTTGTACCCTTCCCATTTCATGTGATACTTTCTCAAACATCTTTTAGAAATCCAAGTACGCCACATCTAGTGGTTCTCTTCTCTCCTCCAATAATGTTGCTTTGTCAAAGAAAAAGTCCGATATTTTAGTTAAATGCTATTTTCTTTTTACATAGCCTTGTTGTCTTTACCTGATCAAATTGTGATGTCCTCCTTAATAATGGAAATAATGGATCTAGGATTTTCCCTATGACAAATGCTAGGCTGAAAGACCTATAATTCCCCTTTTTTTTTAGCCAGACTCCTTTCTTGTAAAAAAGGTGATCAGATCTTCCAATCTGATGCAATGCTTGAAGATTCTAATGAATTTTGGGAGATTATAACCAATGCATCTACTATCTGTGATGCCACTTCTTTTAAGATCCAAGGGTACAGGCCACTGCGTCCTGGAGACTTAACACTCTTAAATTCAAAGGCTTTCCCAGTATGTTCACTGGTGATTGTTTAAAATTTTCCCTCCCTATCACTTGTTGATTTTCAATTATCTTTGGGAATTTTTTTTTTAAGTCTCCCACCATGAAGAAAGACACAAAGTATCTGTTTAAAGTCTTTATCATTTATTTGTTACATTTTTCCTATTCAAATACGTGTAGAAACTATTACTATCTGTCTTTATTTTACTGTATAGCTTCTCATCGTACTTTATCTTCTGCCTCTTTATCATGTTTTTAGTAATTATTTGCAGGCTCTTAAAGTCTGTTCAGCCCTCTGACCTACTACTAGTCTTTGCAGATTTATGGTGTCTTTTTCAATTTAAAACTATCCTTAACTTCCTTGTTTAGCCACAGATGACAAATCTTTTCTTTCTCACTGGAATAAATCTTTGCTGAGTTATTAAACATCCCCTTAAACATTTGCCATTGTAACTTTACTGACCTACATTTTAGCCTGGTTTCCTAGTGCACCTTAGCTAGCTCTATATTCATACCTTCATAGTTACCTTTATTTTGGTTTAAAATACTAGTCATGGACCTATGCTTCTCCTTGTCAAAATGAAAATGAGACTTTTATCATGTTCTGATCACTGTGGCCTGTGTCCTTTACCCTGAGGGTATTGGTTGATCCTGTTTCATGGCACAGTACTAAGTCTAGGATAACTTGCGCCCTGTTTAGCTCTAAGAAATAAATTAGAAGATGCTATGAACTCATTTTCTAAGCTACTATTGCCAATCTCATTCTCCCAATCTACATCCATGATTATTATGGTAATTAGTACCTTTATATGTTTAGTAACTATTGTAATATTTGTACATTCTGTTGACTTCATTAATGTAATATTGATTCTGAAAATTAATTTTTAGGTTGAGTTTGAAGATGGTTCCCAACTTGTAGTAAAACGTGATGATGTTTATACACTAGATGAAGAGCTACCAAAACGGGTCAAATCTCGACTTGTAAGTATGCTGCTTGTGAAATACTTTACATGTACCATTTTACATGACCCATTATCCACAAGATGCTTACGGATGGATAAGGTCATTTGTCTAACCTCATGCAGCAATCCAAAACAATCTTGTGCTGCCCACATTGGTCTGTTGCATCTAATTCCTTCTGTTGATCAGTCTCTCTGTTTAGAACCACCTGATATCAATCCTAAATTTACCTTTCACTCGCTTCAATTTGTTTTCCCTCACCCTAAACTCTTTTACTCAATTTAAAGTAACATTCCAAATTGTCCTGGTCCATTTCACTTACCATTATGAGGTGCCACTATAAGATCATTTCTAAGTTGAAAAGTCCAAATTTATCCTGCCTTTCCCCATAATGGTTAATAGAATAATAAAATGCATGTAAATGTAAAAATACATCCCTTGGAAAAAGTGTTTTATCAAATCAGGGTGAGACCAAGATTTTTTGACAAAATCATTTATGGTACCACACCAGGAGAATCAAATGAGGCAGCCACAAACCATGGAATGAGTTAAATGAAATATGATCTCTAACACCAAAGATCAGCCCTTTGACAGCTTTATGAATGTCTTCCCTGTTTCTCTGCATCCAGAGCTGAACATAGTACTTAAGGTATAGTACAAGAAGAGTACTGTGCAGCTTGATCACATCTCCTTCTGGCTTGTATGCTGCTGTCAGTCATACAACCGGCGTTAAATTGATTGTGTTAATTAATACCCCATTGGGCTTATTAAGCATTAGGTCAAATGACAGTTCTGGTCTCCTTCGCATTAATTCTGTTGCTTGTTTTCTTTTCTATGTGCTTGACTGCTTCAAATTTTAACTGCCATTATTCAACTCACTCATATTTCATTTAACTCATTCCATGGTTTGTGGCTGCCTCATTTGATTCTCCTGGTGTGGTACCATAAATGATTTTGTCAAAAAATCTTGGTCTCACGCTGATTTGATAAAACACTTTTTCCAAGGGATGTATTTTTACATTTACATGCATTTTATTATTCTATTAACCATTAATGGAAATATTTAAGGGCATCATGAATTGCAGTGATCTTTTTGAGAATACATTTTATTGCTAAACTGTATAGAAAAACAAAGTCAGACAATGATTCGGTCATTACTGTGAAGTCTGTAGTTGCATTTTATTGGCAAGCATATCAGTTCTTGGGGTCCCATCTAGATGACTATCATGACTCGTCAATAGAACATATACCACTGGTTGAGAAACACTGGTGTAATCTAACCAAGAATCATTGAGTTTCAGAATCCAATCAATGAGGATATATGTCGGGAACCACAGCTGAACAAATACTGAGCTCTGAGGAGACTCACTCCATAACTGTGTCCTTCCCAACCACACTCCAACAATCTCTCTCACTCCTAATCATTGAAATCACACTTTATGCTTACTTAGCAATCTTCCAATTTATTTTTAGTAACGCCTCAGGTTTTTGTTATCTTGGGTATATGACAGTCAGGTTGCATTGTCACTTGTATTGCTTTGACTGCTGTCTGCTAGATGTTTTTACAGACAAATTCTAAGGTTTACCATTGATAACCTATTATTTAAAAATTATTCTGTAAACTATTATTTTTTAATAAATGAGATAACAGTATCTGTTTAGTGAAGTTTTCAAATGTAGACTTAATCTATTTCTAATCTATTAATAAATCCCACAGCAGATTTTACTCCCTCACATTTGTCTAACTATATTTGTCACTACTTTGTAAATAACTTCACTAGTTTCTTTCAACACTGTGGACTAAATATCACAGAATTGTAGGATCCCTACAGTGTAGATAGATGCCATTCTGCCGGTTGAGTCTGCACCAACTCTCTGAAGGGCATCCCAACCAGAATCCCTTCTCAAAATATCACCTTAACACCACATTTACCATGCCTAATCCATGCAGTCTTTCATTGGCTGCATGCATCAATAGGGGTCAGAAAATGTAACCACCTAATACCATTTAAAGCTAGCCTGTATTGCTTAAAGGAGAAGTTCAATGTAGTAGGAGCAAGTGCTGAGAATCCAGCAGAAGTAAAACTCAATATAAGAAACAGTGGTGGGAGCCAAGAGGTTTGCAAGGTTTTTAAGCACTCAAGATGTTGACAGAGCAGGGGTAAGGAGAAATCTGGTCCTTAGTGAAGAGAAGGTGGCCTTCCAGACACATGAACAAAAGGAAGTGGGAGCGAATGTTTATGGAACTCAAGTCCAGGAGTCAAAACCCCCAGGAGGCAGTGCCATCAGAGGATCAGTGATCTCATGAAAGAGTTCAGTGTTAACTAAATTTTCAAATTCTGTGTGTTATTAACTGCATCACTGTCCCCAACCAGTGGAATTCAATGAATGGTAACAAACATAAATCAACTCCATTGACTTTGATGACCTTCCTTCAAGGTCAAAGACATAGAAATTTAAGGGCCACTGCTGTAGGTGGGAGAAGGAATACAGATCACTATTTAAATTTCTGCAATGCCTTTATTGCAGGGTGACTAAGCAGGTTATTCAGGTCACATGATGCATTGGCCATTTCTCCTGCCTGTTTTAAAATACAAAAAAAGACTGTAACACTGACAGACTTCTTTCCGTCAGTAAGAGAAAAAGGGGGCGTTTTTGGGGGTGTTGGTTAGCTCAGTTTTCTGGACAGGTAGATTGTGATGCAGACTGAAGCCAACAGTATGGGTTAAATTCCTGCACCAGCTGAGGTTACCACGAATAACTCTCCCCTAACCTGTGGCGTGGTGACCCTTGGGTTGAACCACTACTGTCATCTCTCTGTAATGAGAGAGCAACGTTATGGTGCAGTAGGACTATGAAGACTTTGCCTTTATTACAGCAGCTCAACATTTACATTCTGGTGCTCAAGAATGGATTGTGTGTATAAAAATGGTCCTTGGTAGCTGTTTTTTCATTGTGAGATGAACATCTGATCTCGATGTGAGAATTTCTGAAAAGGGATCTGTCCCAAGATATCACTGTGCTCAGGCAGACCATTCCTATTTAAATGTTCTTTTTTTTATTCACTAATGTGACCTGGGCATTGCTAGCTGGCCAGCATTTATTGTCCATTCCTAATTACCCTTGAGAAGGTGATGGTTACAGTCCACGTGCTGTAGGTTGATCCACAAAGCTCTTAGGGAGGGGATTCCACTGTTTTGACCCCATACCAGTGAAGGACCGGTGATATATTTCCAAGTCTGGATGTTGAGTAGCTTGGAGGGGAGATTGCAGTTGGTGGTGTTCCCATGTATCGGCTACCCTTGTTCTTCTCAATGGAAGTGGTCATGGGTTTGGAAGATGCTGTCTAAGGATATTTGGTGAATTTCTGTAGTACATCTTGTAGATAGCACGCACTGCTATTACTGATCATCGGTGGTGGAGGGAATGAATGCTTGTGGATATAGTGTCAATCAAGTGGACTGCTCTCACCTGGATGATGCCAAGCTTCTTGAATGTTGTTGGAGCTGCCACTCATCTAGATATGTAGGAAATGCTCCATCACAGTCCTGGCTTGTGCTGTGTTGATGGTGGACAGGCTTTGGGGAGTCATGAGGTAAGTTACTCACCACAGTATTCCTAGCCTGTGACTTGTTCTTGTAGCCACTGTGTTTATGTGGTGAGTCAAGTTCTAGTCAATGGTAACCTCCAGGATGTTGATATTGAGGGTCTCAGTGATGGTAACACCATTGAATATAAAAGCATTGTGGTTAGATTGTCTCTTATCAGAGACGGTCATTGCCTGGCATTTGTGTAGCCCGAATGTTACTTGCCATTCTGAGGAAGGGTCACTGGACCCGAAGCTTTAACTCTGATTTTTTATTCATAGATGCTGCCAGACCTGCTGAGCTTTTCCAGCAGCTTCTGTTTTTGTTACTTGCCACTTGTCAACCCAAGCCTGGATGTTGTACCAGATCTTGCTGCATTTAAGCATGGATGGTTTCAGTATCTGAGGAATCGTGAATGGTGCTGAACATTATTCAATCATTGGTAAAAATCTGGACTTCTGACCTTATGATGGAGGGAATGAGCAGCTGAATAATTGGGCCTAGGACACTACCTTGAGGATCTCCTGCAGAGATGTCCTGGAGTTGAGATGACTGATGTTGTCCCCTGATACCCAATAATTCCAGTTTTGCTAGAGCTCTTTGATGACATACTTGGTAGCATGCAGCCTTGATGTGAAAGGCTGTTGGTCTAACCTTGGAAATTCAGCTGTTTGGTTCATGTTTGAACGAACGCTATAATGAGGTCAGGATCTGAGTGACCCTGTTGTAACCCAAACAAGACATCACTCAGCACATTATAGCTGAGAAGATGTTGCTTGATAGCACTGTTGGTGACACCTTCCATCACTTTACTGATGATTGAAAGTAGACTGATGGGGTGGTAATCGGTAGGGTTGGATTTGTTCTTTTTTTGTGTACAAGATATACTCGGGCAATTTCTATATTGTTGGGTAGATCCAGTGTTGTAACTGTAGTGGAAGAGCTTGGCTAGGGGATCAGCAAGTTCTGGCGCATAAGTCTTCAGTACTATTGCTGGAATATTGTCAGGGTTCATTGACTTTGTAGTATCCAGTGCCTCCAACTGTTTCTTGATGTTGTGTGATGAGAATCGAATTAACTGAAGAGTGGTATCTGCAATTGGGGATTATGAATATCTGTGATGTTGGCGACCACTGAAAGGAGTGGAGATGAAGGATCATCCAATTGGCACTTCTGCCAGCATTTTAGCCTTAACTTTTGCACTGATGTTTTGGAGGCACCTCATCCAGTGAGTGCTTTAATTATCCACCATCTTTCACGACTGGATGTGGCAGGACTGCAGAGCTTAGTCTGATGCCTTGGTTGTGGAGTCACGTAGCTCTGCCTGTCACTTGCTCCTTATTATCCTTGGCATGCATGTAGTCCGTTTGGTAGCTTCACCAGGTTGATGCCTCATTTTTATGTGTGCCTGGAGCTGCTCCTGGCATTTACTCC